GCATGTTTACTTGTTATATGTATGTGCACATGTTTATTGGTATGGGGAAGGGTTGAGGTAGGTCCTAATGTGTGTTGTAGTGCCAAGACACCCAGGGCGGACCGGGTAGACAGCAGGCCTAGGCCGGGAAAATCTAGTCAGGCTAAAGGCCTAGCGAGTGGTCTGGATAGGCTAAAGGCCCTGAGCGGGCGGTCTAGACGTGTCGATGGCTCGGAGAGAGGTCCAGATAGGCTGAGGATCGGGAGTCGGTCCAGTCAGATTGATGGCTCATTATGCATGTTGTTTGTTGTTTTCTTATATGTTTATATGATATGGTTATATCTGTATGGCATTGGTATTTTGGGGGTAACTCACTAAGCCTTCGAGCTTACATTTATCGATTATTGTTGGTCGCGGGAAGGCGTAGGCGTGATCGTGCACCTCCTTACATTTTCATGATTGATTTTGGGGATGCTCTGATGTTTAAATTATTTTGAAAGTAAATTGTAATAACTTCATGGTTTTAAATGTTTTAAAAAGTTTTTAATTAGCTTGAATTTTATGGATGCTACAAGTTGGTATCAGAGCCTTGGTTTGAGTGAATTAGAGAAACATTTGTGTGAATCCAGTCTCAAATCAAGGAAAGATTTTCGAAATAATTTCTAAATGGCTTTCAAAATAAGTAAAGGAGGATGCAAGGTGTACGATCTGTCGGAGCCAGTAAGTAGACCCCAAAATACCATACAGAATTTGCTTACGTGATATGTTAGAACAACATGTTGGTACTAGGCTAGTGATCTTCAGGAATTTCATGATAGAATTGCCTGATTACATGATACTTGATAGCCTAGGGTTTTCCTTATATGAAATTGACATCATTACTGTAGTTGCTTAGTATATGCATCACAATTGTACATAATTAAGATCTTATAGCCTGAGAATGTTTGGTTTGGCTTTATTTCCTGTTCCTTGTCTGGTTGTGGGCTTAGAGTAGGACCGAGTATTTGAAAGTCTATAGGGTCCAGCATTATGTATGGTTAGCATATACGAGGGCTGCAGGGTTGGTGGAAGTTTCATGGGTGGGTTGTGAGAGGTCGGGAGGCAAGTTATGAGATGTTTAGCATTCCTCTAGGAGTGGGGTTTAAGCGCTCGCTATGATTATGTATATTGTAAGGGCGTTGTGATGATACTTGAGACAAATATTGGTAGGTGTGGAAGGTAGTATGGGCTCATACTACTGAAAGCACAGGACCCGTATGCGTAGCAAGGAAATCACAACCCCTAGGGTTTAGTTGGGAATTGGTTCTTGTCATTATATGGGTTATAAGAGATCTTTCTGGTATATTACAAGAATGGTGGTTACGAGACATCTTGAGACCGGATCCAGGTTTGGATCGGGAGCTGGCAGTCAAGATAGGCTAGCATTGTTAGAGGACCGTGTTAGTGAGATCATCCTAGAGGAAGTGATCGGGGTTGTCCAGGAATAGTTTTTTTTTGGGATGTTTTAGTCTATTAAGACCGCCATGGTTGAGTATTTCGACAAGCGTTATGCATCCATTGTCGAGATGGTTGCCGCAACAGCTTCAACAGCTATAACGACGGTAAGGAGAGGAGCTGGACGAGCTTTCCAGAACCGGGACTTGTTATTGGTGAATAATCTGATGAGCAGAGGGATATAGTTATCTGGGAGCAAGAAGATGACATGTACTCGTTATATTTCTGTGGGTTGAGCGAGAGAGACTAGCTTGTGGGTTTCTAGATTGAGGCTCGAGGGTTTTGCTCGAGACAGGAATGTGAGTCACAGGGACACTGGAAAGGAGTGATGATTATGTTCATCGGGGGTTTTGCAGCTGGAAGTGGAATGGATAATTGATGAATTGGATTGTCATTTGGTAGGGCAAGGATTATATCCTCTCAGTTTTTTGAGCTCGAAGGAGTGAGCAGACTTGTGACCCAGGGGCAGGTTGTTTTCCAGCTTGGGGTCAGTCGATTGCAGAGGTTGGCAACATTATTTCAGCGTCGGTGAGCGCATGTGGGTCGACTTGGCATAAGTAAGTGTAGAGTTTGGTTTGCCTTGGATCTCTTGCATCGGACGGTAAGGAGTGATTGTACAATCTATTGCACATTTGGGATTGTAGATTATGTCTTTAGGAGTAGTTGTAGCCCGGTTTAGGGCAGAGGTTGTTTCAGCTGCTACAGTTCAGCTGTGGACTTTTGAGTTGGTAATTGACTCAGGGTGTGAACCCTAAAAAGACTGATTTTAGAACCTGAGAGCGGGAAGTTTATTGGAAAACCTTTGGAAAAAGTAGTATTACGTGGGAAGTCCACAGATAGGGTTGCTTAGGATGGTTATTCAGCATTGTTGGGACTCAGTGGTATTAGCAACCGTTCGTGATTGATGAACAAAAGCGCCAACGGAAAGGGGTTCGTTGCCGAGGTATTAGTTGGAGCGTTTATCTTTTTGCCTTTAGGACATGAGTGTAGGGTCGCTCACGCATTTGTGGCTGACGGTTTCTCTGGAGTTCAGCAAGCTCTCATCTGGTTCTTGGAAGTGTGTGATCATTCAGGATGGGCTAGTAATGGAGCACTAGTGGGAAAGAGTTGGTTGGCCTCAGATCAGTCGTCGGGAAGTGAGAAGGATTGACAATCCTCCAGTTTTCATGAATTATAAGGCTTAGTCGAATCTAAGTGGGGGAGTGTTACCCTACGATGTGGAAGTGGGAGAGGTTTTGAAACGGGGATAAGTTTCATAACCCGATAAGGAGAATGAAGGCCCTAGTGGCTGCTCGGTTTGAGGGTTGTATGAGTTGGGGGTTCGGTAAACTCCCCATTATGTGTATCACGTCTTCTCAGTAGTTGATAACAGAATTTGGGGGAATCAGTTTGGAAGTCTGGTTATTATTGAGTTAACTTCGAGTATTCGCTCGACGGTGTGCTCAACTCTGAGGGTTTTTGGATTGATAGATTGAAGGTTTTGTTAGCTTCCAGGGCTCGACAACACTTCAACACAAGTATGTGGGTTATTTAGCGTATGTGATGGACACGTAGGGAACGAAACATACCATGGGTTCAGATGAGGTAGTTGATCGATGTGAGGCCTGGGTTTATGTAACGCCCGTGTTTCTGGGCTTGCCATTTTTAGCAATGTAATAGTCTAGGTTAACCTTTGTAACCCAATTTGAAATAATAAGAACGTATTAGTTGAGTATTATGTGTTACATGCTTAATTGCTTAATTATGTGATATGATTAATTAAGAATAAAATGAGCGTCAAAATTTAAGTGTAAAATAAACTCGATATCTTTGGATAATGTTGTAGTAGTTGAAACGAGGTTTCCAAATACATATAGAACGCCCAAATCTGACTTCGTATGAGGAAGTTATGATTTTCTGAAGTTTCGACTGGGCAGTATGCAGCCCGAATACTCGATTTGAGATCGAGCGGTTTTTAGCCGAAACAATCTAAACGAGAATCGAATATCTCGTTGTTAGTAGCGAAACGATGAAAAGTTAGGCGAGAACAGACGTCGAACGAAGAAGTTATGATTTTATAACGGAGTTTTCCTGTCCCGGCCTACTAAAAATAAATAATGAAAATAAAGTCAAAAATTAACCGACGGTGTCTAAACGAAAGTTGTAGAGCATAGTCTCACCTACGCATGGATATAAAGAACGTCGAAAACGGAGTTCGTATGAAGGAGATATGAATTTTTAAAGTTTATTAAATATTTTCGATATTAAATTTAAATATAAATTTTCGATATCATCCAAGAGGGGGAGTCACCGGGCTTATCCAGGTTACGCCCAGCGTAATGTGGGTTTCAGCCCCCTATAAAAGGAAGTCGAGGCTGCCTTATTCCTTTGCTCATTTCTCTTCTTTCTCTCGCGTTTTTGCATCGTTTTTCGTGCAAGAATTATCCCTAAGCCCCGGTATCATTCCCGAGCCCTGAAGCAAGTCCCGAATCCCTGAAGCAAGTCCCGAAGCCCCGAAGATCCCGAGAATTGGGATTCCCGAGCCATAGAGGAGCCCGGTTTTTGTGAAGATCTTCCAGATCTACCGAAGAATACTACTTCTACAAGTCGTAGTGTTGTCCGATCATATTCCGATCAAGTGAGTGTGTAGTTACCTTCTTCTAACGCATAATTATGAAGTATTTTATACGAAATACGTGTTATGTGTATATTTGGTTGTTATATGCGTGAATGTATATTCACTTTCTTCTATCTCATAGATCCGATTTATTCTCTATGAAATATGTGTTATGTGTGTGTGCCTCATCTGTTATGCGGAATATGTATTGATTGAACATACTATACAGGTTTTAAACTATGTATAAATATATATATATATATATATATATATATATATATATATATATATATATATATATCTACTAATATGTTGGGTAGAACATGGGTAGATAGTTGATGTGTGATAAACAGATGAGAGGCCTCGATGTTGTTGTTGTTGACCTAGTTATTCAGCAGAGTATTGATAATGACCACAGACTCCATCTAAACAGTCATGTGTAATGCTAGCAGGTTCATAACCTGTAGGTGTTGTGAACGATGTGTTCACCGGTGTACTCTATCCCCCTCATGGTTGCCTTTAGGATATCTATTGTTGAGGAAACCCCTTAGTTGTAATGTCCGTCCCGATGAAAAATCCTAGATTAGGTCCCTTGAGATAGATGTTGTTTTAGGGACGTAAAGTGAGGATAACGGGAATTGGTAATCGGGTTATTGTTGCACTACTAGAAAAAAGGCCTTTAATGACGTGCAATTTATGACGCGCACGAATTTACAATACGCAAAAGCGTGTGACGTCAAAATAACGTCATCTCTACAAAATTTTGAAGGGTTTTGGACGCGCATTTTTACGTGCCCTAAAATTTGTGTCAGAAAAAAATAAAAATAAAAACACGGAGGGCACCCATCATAAAAGGCGTGTCGTGTATGTATGTCGCTTTATAATTCTTGAACGCGCCTCCAGACTATTTATTTTATCAAAAAAATCAAAGGGATCATTCTAGGGTTCTTTTAAAGATGGGAGTGCTCTCTACAACGTTCTCTACCTTGGCTCACCTCATCTACCAACAATCTCGACTCATCTCTTTTCGCCGGCAAGCTTGGGCTAACCTTACCTCAACGGAGACCGCCATAGATGCTCAAGTTTACAAGCCCTAGGTCAGGTTTAACGAACATCAGATCTTCTTTGTGATCTGTCTCGCACAACAAGCCTCCTTGTGTTGATCAGAAGTCACAGGGCTTGATTCCGAGAGTTCAATGACCATTAGATCTTATTTCACCCCTCTCTCCGTGCATTGTGTAAATTCCTCTCTAAATCCTCTCTTTGATGTCGATATCTCTATCTAGCCGAGAGAACAAAGGAGAAACATAACTGATTTTTTTTGTTGCCCCTTATCGGAAAACACACACAAACACACTTTTTCTGTGTGCTTTCTCTTTCCTCATTCCTAAGCCCTGACTTCGACTCGGAATCCTACATCTCCGATCTACGAACCTTTGTCCCCTTTGAAACCCTAAGATCAGACCGTCTTCTCAAATTAGGGCTTGTGGTATCGATTCAAAACATGTATCCCACCGCATCCATCATCCATCAAAACATCTATATCCCAAAACGATTGTTTCTTCTTCAAAACCCATTGAACGAGCGTGCGTATGAAAAGTTAGAGAAAAACATATGGCATGTAGAAGGTGAAGCATATTCATCCAGTGGATCGTGATTTTTGGTCAAGATAACTCCATTTTCCTATTATAGGTCAACTGCAATCCATTATATGTCCTTCGCCTCTTCCCTTGTTCCCCCAATTCCTTCCCTATGCCACCTTCCTCTCTCTTCTTCCAGCGATACCCCAATTCCTTCATCAGACTCATCTCCGCTGCTTCACCAAGCGCCTCTCTATTGCACTAATCTTATTGTTTTCTTAGAGTTGGCAATTTGAAGTGTATAAGGTATTTGATTGAACGTTTGACTCTTTCTGTTCCCCTTATTCAGATTATTCTAGCCCTAATTCGTTTTTTTTCATAGCCCTAATTGCATTTTTTACATTCTTTTGCCTATATCAGCTAAACACTTAACCATGTTTCAAAAGATACTTAAACATAACTGTGTTACCATATATTTTTACAATTTGTAATGTTGTGCTTGTGGTGTGATAGTAAACCAGCAATTTTTGTTAATATGAAAAAAAAATCAAAGTTTGAAATTCCCTTGACTGTGCAAATTTGTTTATATACAATCTGGTCTTGTAAACTTAGAGTTGGCTTGCACCTGTTTCATAAAATAGAGTACCTAATCTTTTTGAAGATTTCTTACGATATCTAAATTGCATGAAACTTTTCAAAAGAAAATTAAACTGAATAATTAGTTGATATTTGCATTTAAGTATAATAACTTAAATTTTCTGTTAATTGATGCTGATCAACTTTTTGTATTGAACCAGATCTTGAAGTGCTTATAATATTGTTTGGCATCTATCTTTTAATATGCCATGTAGGAAATAAAAGCTGATTGGTAAAGGGATGCTTCATCCCTACTTGTTGCTATTGGTTCTCATTTACCAGACCTTGTAAGTAGATAGAAACAGTCAAAAAGAATATCATCATTCTTTCACATCTATCTTTGTTCCAAAATGTATGCACAAAACTCAACTCTTCAAGAAACTCAGCAGAAAGAGGCATCCATTAAAACAATGGTTGACGACCCTGTAAAGTCAGAGCACACTCGATGGAATGCAAAGGTATATATTTTCTCTCCTAGATTTCTGACTTGAATTTGAGATTAAAATTTGTAATTTCTTTTGCTTATTTGATTTAGATTATATTAATGAGTGGACTCAGTCAAAATGCTTTGATTCATATTTTATTAATGACTTGAATTCCCCATTTATGCAACATGATTAGGTTTGCTTGTCATAAAAATGGGAATACTTTCAAGGCAATTGGAGGCTTGTGGGAAACCACAGATGGCAATGATCCTTCAGTTGACAAATCCACTCTTGTTCACACTGCTCTTAGGTTTGTTTTTGCATGATAACTTGTATATTCCCTCCCCCCCCCCCCCCTTACAGATTTCTAGTTTATTGATTTATATTGTGTAGGTATGCCAAAGACCTCACAGGACTTGATTTGAAAAATTGCCAACATTGGAATCCTTTCCTCGAGGTAATCCGTTATTGTTTCGAGAGTTTATCTAATTAATTAATTAGATTTTCTTGTTATCTAATCATTTGATTATGTCCATTTTTGCAGATTCATTATGACCGAGTTAAAAAAGATGGAATATTTAGCCATAAGGAGGTCACAGTACTCTATGTTCCTGATTTATCAGATTGTTTACCTTCAACATATGCATGGAGGGATCAATGGCTTTCACACAAGAAAGCTATTGTTGAGAGAGAGCATCGATATGCTCTTAAAAGAGAGGTATACTGTTACTGCTTCATATTTTACATATATATATATACATATATATATATATATATATATATAATATATATATATATATATATATATTTAAAAATAGATTAGAAAAAAGGACAGATGAAACTAACATATTGAAACTAAAAGTTGTTTCTTCCATCATATGTTTTGGTTTATATAGATAGCTCGAGGAAAGAAGGAAGGATTGAAAGGTAACTAACTTATTGATATTATCATACCTGAAAGTTATTTATTTTTATAAAAATGTTGTAAGTTTACCTTTTATAACTCTGTTGATTCTGCTTAGATAAGGAACCTGGGACACCCAAAGATCTGAAGAAGGATGCAAAATTAGAAAAAGAGAAAGTGCCTGAATCTGATGAGTCAGCATCAAAACTAAAAGAAATGGCAAAAGATAAAGTCAAAGAACCTGAAAACGTAGGAGTTCATATTAATGCAGTAGATATAGAGAAGACAAATGTGGTTGAGACACCTGGCGAAGGGAATAACTCTGTAGAAAAGAAAACTGGTAGTGGAAAAAAGAAAATTATCAGAAAAGTTATAAAAAAGAAGGTTGTTAAAAAAGATAAAGCAGGAGACACAACCAAACAAACTGATACATTATTAGATTCCAAGAATGTGGGAGAGACTTCTACAGAGACAGAGACTGCAGGTCAAAGTCAAAGTCAAAGATAAGGTCAAGGTCAAGAGTCAACTGGTAATACTCCTACTGTGAAAACTCTTACAAAAAAGAAAGTTATAAAAAAGGTTCATGTGGTGAAATCTGTTAAGAAAGAAGATGTAGGGACACAATCTGAAGTGACACCTGTCAAAGAGAAAGAGAGTTCTGAAATCAAGCCAAAGAGTGCAGATACAGAAAGTCTTACAAGTGTGAAAAAAACTGTAAAAAAGAAAATAATAAAAAGGGTTGTGAAAAAAAAAGGTTGTTGCTAAAGATAAAGTGGTAGATAAATCAAAAGTAACTATTGCGGAGGAACAAAGTGTTGCCCCTGAGCAGAAAAAAGATGAAAAGAAAGGTAAAATGGGTTCCAAAACGAAGGGTATTATTGTCCAGTCTGACAGTAATGAAAAATTGGAAACTGAGGAGAAGTTAAAGGAGGAGAAAGTGAAAAAAGAGAAGGATGTTAAAGGTGAAACAAAGGGTAAAGAAGTAAAAGATAGTAAAAAGGATGAAGAGGTTCCTAGACACCCTGGGTTGTTTCTCTAAACAAAAGGGTGACAATCCCTTCATTATGTTTTAGCAGCTAGGTCAAAATTGTTTATTATATCTAAAAAGACCTAGTAAATCCATTGTAAGTTGCAGATTTTCGATCATATTCATACCCACTACTCTTTCATAATTTCTTTCAAATTCCCACCTTACAATTACGATTTTTAGTGAAAAAATACACATCTTTGAAAGCTTTTATGGGTACTTCGGTTTGATTTGTACAAGAGATTTCTCTAATTCTGGTGATTTGCAGTTGTACACCAACTATTTGTTTAAATGTCTACACACCGATTGAAATCATGCATCATTTATCTGAATTATTCTTGTTGCATGGTTTGTTATTTAGGTTACCACACTTTCTAATGTTGAAGAAAAAAAGAGATTTGAATTTCTGGAAGCAGTGAGCGGTATGATGGATGCCCATCTTCGTTACCTCAAACAGGTAGACAATTCAATTCGATCGCAGCAGTGTGTGTTTGTGGAGCTTTCTAAAATCTAAATCTGAATTATTCTTGTTGTAGTGATATGAGCTTTTGCATCAGATGGAGTCGTATATAAATCAGGTTTGGTATTTATTTTAGTTTAGAGATTAGACATATAGAAAAGAAAAGAAGAATGCATGTTGTGTTTTATTTTAATTTTAATATAAAAAAACTGGGCAGGTGTTGACATATGGTCAACAATCTCAAGAGAGATCAAATTATGAGCAAGCAGCTCTGAACGAAAGAATGCAAGAGTACAAAAGACAAATTGATCGGGAGAGCAGGTGATCATGCAGTCTGCTTCAAAGGGCAAGGTTCAAACCATTCGCCAAGGATATCTTTCCAAGTGCTCCTCAAACCATCTGTAACTCAACTTCCTTTACTTTACTTTAGTCTTTACTTATTAAATATCTATATTTTTATTTTCGACAACAGGGCTCTGGCAGTCAAATATCTGGTCAGAGGAATAGCTCTGAACTCGGTCATGGCCTGCTGAGTCGTTGGCTTTCTTCTCATCATCACCATGGTGGAGGCGGAGTACATGATGAGAAATCTGTTGCTCATCACACTGTTAACCTCTTGACTTCAACTTTGAAGCAGACATGAACTACATTTACATGCAAGATTTATGTAATTCTTCTCTAACCCTTGCTAAGGCAATGCTGTTGCAAGACCTGGGCCCAGGGGGTAGTGATTCAATCTCAATCTCATCAATGGCAGCCGCAGCAGGCACCAGTGAAGTGCAAGGACTTGGCATGGAGGAATTCCATGGGTGCACCCTCCTCCATCTTGCTTGTGAAACTGCAGATATTTGGATGATTGAGCTGCTCTTACAGTATGGTGTAGCTGCGCTTTCTGGAAATAGAAACTTTGAATTGCGTGTTCACCCACTAACAAGAGCCAATTACTTGGCTTCACCTCCCTTGGTTGTAGCTTACGCACTTTCGGCACGGTATGTGTAAAATTACTCTTCTACCCTCAAAGAAACACACAACACAAATTCATATCATGTTTTGCATGTTGTGTGTTTTAGGTCGAAATCGACTTCGAAAACGAACCAACGGGAGCACAAAGGACGTAAAGAATGCCTACTTTAGAGACGTTTTGCCAAGCACCGAAGAAATCGCACATGTATATATATATATATATATATATATATATATATATATATATATATATATATATATATATATATATTAGCTTACAAACTGTAGAATGTGTTTAGTAGTGAATCTCATAGGGACAAAATGGTAAATTTGCAGGTGGTTCAATCAATGTCATTTATTAATATTTGGAATTACAACCTCTCTATGTTTGACTAAAACCTTCTGATTTTGTTGAGTTTTTAACTTTGTTTTTGGTTTCATTTAGTAATAAAGTATCAAATATCAACAGTTATGTGGTAGTAATCCTTCTGAGGGGGTGTTTGTTGGGCTGCTTCTTTCAATGTCATTAACAACAGTGGTAAGTAAAATCTTACTATTATGAAACTCTTTTGCTTAAACCTACCTTATTGACCTGTAGGTGATTACACATTAATTTAATTATGCAGGTTTTGAAGTTTTTGATGCAAAAGAATAGTGTTAATGCTCTTCATAGAAAAGTATCACATCCAATTAGGAAGTAAATATAAGCATATCTTGCAGGGGTAAAATGGTAATTTGTGTAATTTTATAACCAAACACAAATTACCAGGCAAATACATAAGAACAGGAGAATCTTTTAGAGGCCTGTTACAGGCAACAGGGCAAAACCATGTTGAGATCATGTTTGGAGATGATCATCTCCAAACATGATCTCAACATGGTTTTCCCCTGTTGCCTGTAACAGGCCTCTAAAAGATTCTCCTGTTCTTATGTATTTCCTGGTAATTTGTGTTTGGTTATAAAATTACACAAATTACCATTTTACCCCTACAAGATATGCTTATATTTACTTCCAATTGGATGTGATACTTTGTGTAGGTTTGGAAGGAACTGGAACTGGCCTTGTTGTACATGAGAAAACTCTTGGAAAGTGAGTTGAATTTGGCTAAGTAATTATTGAGTGAGATGGGCCAATGTACAACTGCTTATCCATATAATCAGTTGTTTGGAGCATTAGTCTTAAAAAATTATGAAAGGCAAGATGAAACTTTACTTAGTTGGAATTTGATGTATATAGTAGATTAGATGCAAATTTATATATTGTAAGAAATATAATTGTATAACATTAAATTTATGCAATGGATTCTATTTTTTGTATATCATATTTTTTTTTCTATTATGAAACATTAAATACAAATTTAATTTTGAAAATAAGTAAATCTTATAAATAATATTTTTTAAACATTTAAAATTATGATACGCAAAAAATATGTGTCATCTTCATTTATGACATGGCCTTTCTTGACAGGGGCTTTCTTGATACGCATTGCGTGTCATTAACACGCGCGTCGTAAGGTTACGACACGCAAATGCGTGTCGTCTTCCTTTATGATAGGGC